GAAAGTGTGGGGTGACACCCTCACTAAACGTCGCTTAGTTTTAGGTGTAACCGAGTGGAAATCATTGGCACCGATAAGTCATGAGATGACTTCATATCCCGCCAGCTAATCAAAGGAAAGTCTACCGGTTCCGGTTTATGAATAGAAAAATAGGCACTGATAAAACAGAATCGATTTATATCAATCTACTTACCCAAAATAATGTATAAAATGGAAGAAAAACAATTGTAATCTATTAATTAATATCAATAAATGAAATAACTTTAAGTCATCATCATAAGGTAGTCAGTTCTAAGACTGCTTGGACACGCACCTCCACTCTTTCCTATTCTAATAGGTACCTCATCATTAATGTAGCTTTAACAAATAAAATCGTACAGTTGATTTTGGATATAATGACTACGAAAGGACCGCTGTAGTTTCGACGTTATATCCGGTAGTCGTTACAGGCAAAGATAAAAAGATGCAGACACGTATGTATACATTTCACCATTTTTTAATTTTGAGAAAATTTCCGCCTTTATAACAGTAATTGTACATCCAGGAGTCATTTGTATACGTGTAAACAAAAGATAAAAAAGCTCTTTAAGTCTTTGGCGGTCGACTCCAGTCGCTATATCTGCATGGGATTACCAGGGATCTGTTAGAAATGATTTATTAAAAACAGTCGTTACACCTGAACTTAGCGTTACATCCGAAGTCGCTATAGTCACATGAATTTTGTACGAATGTATGCTTTAAAATCAATTAGATTTAACGTCGCTATAGAAAAATGGTCGCTATAACCAAGGTTGTAATAAATGAAATCCACTGTTTTTTTTTTTCTGAAAACCTTCAGAACAAAATTAAAATCCCGATTTTTCCGGGTTGGCGTTGTAGAATGCATTTTCGCCTAATGCGGACCATTAAAGCTTGACAATAGATATGGAAGCTGTTCGATCAAGAGTGCTTTCTCATTATTCTGAACCGGTGGCAACCCCACCATTGCCCATCACCTACACAAGTTAGTTCTGCATGACTTACAACAGTATTACGATATCCTAGCAACGATTGCAGGTAATTGGGAAGAGCCGTTTTGTCCTCACTTAAATTGACGCAAGAATGAAAGGCATTTTCAATAGACATTTTACATAAGTGTCTCCATATTAATAAGCCCCCGGTCTGGGAATTATTATTTATTACGGTACGGGGCGAATTTAAAAATAAATCTGTGTAATTGACACTGAACTTGGTTATTGATCTGACTAAAAATAGGTACAAATATCTAATAATCAGTATGTAAAATCGTTGTTTTATTAAGATTCATCTTAACGGTTTCCAAAATTAGTAATGAGCAGAATACGTGTAAATCAAAATTAATTATTGATACTATAGTGGTTTACAAACGCAAGCTTATTGATATATACGAGGATTGATCCCTTTGCTCTCCCCTTGACCTAAACCGAAATAATTATTTATTTCCACAAATTAATGCTACAACATAGAACTCTGGATAAGTTAAATCCTGTATACAGTAGACGATCAAATTTGGGAAAATGTATTATCAAGATGGAGGATGTTGAACAATTAGCGGTGATTAAATTCTTACAAGGTTCGTGACAATGGCTGAATCGTTGATCCATCATTACCACGTATAGATAGCAAAATACAGAGTAAGGAATCAACACATCAGGACTCAAGATCGTCGAAAAAGTTCAAAATGCAACCTTCAGTAGGGAAAGTCATGGTATCCGTGTTTTGGGAATCTGAATATGTAATTTTAGAGGATTTCTAGAAAGGGGCCACAATTGCAGATGCTTATTATGCCAATTTAATTACCAAATTACGCCAGTTGATAAAGAAAAAACAAAAGAGAAAGTTGCAAAAAAAGTCTTTTACGTCAGGATATCGCATTCAGTCCAACTCTATAGTAGCTAGTTGAGCATACACCGTATCAGCCAGATTTGACTACTAGCGATTATCGACTGTTTTCAAATCTTAAGGAATCCTTGACTCATAAACAATTTTCATCAAAAAATGAAGTGATATGTGGTGATCGATGATTTTCTGAGACTATAGAATTTATTTCCGGGATGCGTTAGAAATGGTAGAGCATCGACTGCAAAAAAAGTTGTCGAAAAATAAATGTAAAATATTTGTAAATTCTTTACTGCAAAAAGGTCAGGAACGGAGCATAGGGATACTCCGATACTCCGAATACTTCGACAACCTCCCTCCTCCAATAAAATAGCATGATATTCCAAAAACCCCTATACATATCTTCTCATTTCCTTACCTGCACATAAAACACATACGACACTCATACACACACACACACACACACACACACACATATACACAGACACACAGACAAATACACACACACCACCTTCAACGTAAGTATTCAATAATCACGTTACATCATATTCACATCGGCTGAAGAGGACCTACATTGGTCCTAGAATGGCCTGAGGTAGAGGGGTTTTAATCAGCTGGGTGTCTTTTGAAAAGTTACCCTCTTCCACGAAAACAAAAAAAAAACATCAGATTTAGTTAACATGGTATTAAGAACACTAACCAGACTAAAGAAGATTGTTCTAGTACTCGATAAAACAAAAAAGGGGTTAGTAACTAATGAATTGAAAAAATTGATAGGAATAATTTTTACTGAAAATTTTTACACAATCTCAGACTACAGTATATGTTCAAATATATGTCGATATTTATATACATGTGTGGGCAATCCCTAGTCCCTTCCTACGTCATTATTTGGCTTTGACGCAGCTTCTCACATTAGAGAACCCGAAGAGATTTATACCGGATTACTGTCAACACTTCTTGCATGACCAATTTGTTTCGAAATATTTGTCTGTCGGTACAATTTGTGTGATAAGGTTTTATTGTAGGCCTATGTCAATTAACTACTTACAAGTTGTATCTTTAAAATACGGACATATTTATTTTATCAAAATCAAAATATTTATGTGTAACTAATAAAATCTGTAATAGTTACTTTTTTTATGTTTTTAAATTAATTAAGAGGACAGAGTATGTAATTTTTAGTATACCTATGTACTTAAAATTAATACTTTAAAACTCAATTGAAAATTTACTTCAATCATTTAGGACTACAATTAATCCACATTTATATAGTAACGAATTTTTACACAAAAATGATCCCTAAAATGTTTTCTAAATTTATCCGTAATTTTAATTAAAAATTATAACGATAATAATATTTGCTAAATGCCAAGACGGCATCCTGATTTATATACAGCAGGCATTAATTTCATTTGTGATAAGTTACTTGTAGATATTTGTATAAGTTCAGATAAAAATTTGATTTGTGGTTTAGTTGTCTATTGATTGACATAACCGAAAGTTAATTAATATATTGATATCTAAAAAAAGTTAGAAAATAGAGGATTTATAGACATAAGCACCAAGCGGGTTCCAAATTTTGATGGCCTGTTTCCTATATGTTTTGAGAGCAAAAACAAGACCATTAATCTCCTGGAATCCTAGATTAAGGAACCGGAAAGCAGGCTGATTGAAATACTTTAAAGTATTCAATAAGGTTGTTTTANATAAAATACTATATAAGGAAAATTTAAAACATCTAAACATGTTGAGAAAGATAAGCAATAAAAAGATTTTTATTTACAGGAGCACAGTAGAACAATTTTAAGACAGAAAATCTCAGAAGGGATTTAAGAACAGAACAGAATTACAAAAGTGTTGTCCACAGATTACAAATTTTTGATTCACTAGATTATTTTCCTTATAATTATGGTTTGGTGGTCCTAAAATTATTTATTTAAAAAAAAAAAATATCGTTACTGTAGACGTAACTCAAAAATTTAAAACATACGATTATAGGAATCAGATCATCTAACATTTTCAATACGTTTCCAAGTATCGATTTAGTCGAGCAAATGCCTCTTGATGCCCTCTGGAAAGGAGGGTTGTAATGAAACAAACCACCAGTAGCAGGGACCTATTTTGTTCCACGATAAAAAGAAAAGTGAAGAATTTTCATTGGTCTCCATATTCAGGAAAATATTGTAAGAGGGCGTTAAAGAAAAGGTGTACAGCTAAATTTCCCTCTGTTTTAATTGTAAATACTTGGGATGTTTTGATTTTCATATTAATATACAGGCAGTACTGGTTTCTACTACTACTTGTACTATTTAAAAATGTCTACGAGAAGATACCTAGGTGCATCTTCAAACTGAATATATGATACCGTTTACTTATATGATACACGTAAACGAAATTCACAAAGGACATTATGATATTGGTCAACAATTTATTGAAAGTAGCAGATCTGAGTTGGGATTTGAGTCTCAAATCACCGAAAAATTTTTCAAAGAAACCACAGAAAAACTTGGATTAGGGCAGAGCCGGACAAACTTTAATTTCGTAGGAGCCGCTACCCGAAGTTTGTTTGGGTCACTCCATACCCTTATTTCAGAACGAGAGAGTAGTAATGACCCATATTGCTTTCTCTTTTTCTTCTTCCTTCCACTCCCATATCAAGCCCCTTCATCCCGTAGACGAGCGAAGCCTCTCTAGCAACTTAAATAATACCTACGTTCGCAATAATATTGGTTTCGGCTATGGAAGAGGGGGCTCACCTACGAAATGGAAGAGATAAGAAAAGGAAAGAATCATTTCACTCTCACTCGCAGGAGCAATGAGGAGCTCCTTGGCTATACGTCGAGAGTCAAAAGAGTCAAAAGAGCCGAGTTTGCCCGGTTGTGGATTGGGATAGTGGGACCCGAAATCGAACCGATCTCCTTACGTGTTCTAAATCATCAAATAATCGAAACCTGTAGGCTATGCCGCCCGCTGGTTCACCGACACCGAAGCTGCTCCACAAAAGGGAGTTGTTACAGTATCAAGGTAGTAGTAGTATATCACCATCTACTGATACGTTCTGCAAACTGTAGTATTTCAAAATGTATGATAAGGGCCTTACGAAGGTCACACGTCAAGGCATTGGTCAGTTTGACAGGCAGATTCCTTTCGTATGACCCTTGTTAAACATTTTGAAATACTACTGACCAAGAACTTGTTGTTGCTGGCATAGAAATATTTGAGAAGTTTTTTTTCCAAAAAGTAGCAAGAATTTGTCATTAAATTTTGACATGTTCTGGACTATCATTATATTAATATTTTGAAGTTAATGACAGATACTCTATAAGCGCTTTCTCAAATTATATTTCTCTAGCCAAATTTTTTGTATGTAGTAATAAGACGAATGGCGACATATGGACATTTCGGTTAGAAATAAAATTACCACCGATTACAGAAAATGCTGAAATGTACGAAACTCCTACTAAAAGTAAGGAGATCGCTTTACAATCGAAATTAAAAGAGTGTTCGCAGAGCAATCTAATAAGAATTCCACAAAGTGAGTGAAAATAATTTTTCTAAAGGTTTCCAATGTTTCATCTGCCACTACAATATCTATTGCTCTTGTAGAGGTGAAGCCGTTTAGAAATCGTAAAGTGGATAAAATAATTTTACCAACCAAATCCAAATTTGCTTTGAACGTTGCATCAAGTAAAGGTTTGTTTATGCAACCATCTCAAATATTTTATTTAAAGTACATTACCTATTAATTATTTATAATATCGGCACAGGTAGTTCAAGTTTAGCAATCAGCCTCTGTACTCGTCAGTCTGCTATACCTTGTCAATTAAAACGATCAATATCTTGTCCCAGTTTTAATAAACCATCTAGGAAAGCATTTCATACTTCATGGGATTCAGTACAGAAAACAGTACTAGAGGCTCGGCCGCCTTGTTCAACATCTAAAGAAATTTCGAAACAATCAATGGCTAGAAATAGAAGACAAACAGAAGGAGTCTCAACTATGTTAGAACGGCCAGACCATGGTGATATACACGAGTTAAATAGCGAAGAGATAAGACAAATGTTGCCGTTACAAAAAAGGGTTCAGGGTAATTCACTTAAGAATAAAAATCGGATGATGGCATCTACAAGGAAAACATCAACGGTTAATGATTTCGTCAGCTATCAGAGCACTTCACAAAAGGAGTCTATCATTTCAGGTTCGAAATATTTCACAATAATTGTATAAAGTTTAAGTGAGAATGAGATATTTACCATTATATTGGTGCCATTTTATTTAAATGGATAAACTACTTTGAAATACACTAAAGGTCATCAAAATCTGAACAATTTATATTATATATTTTATATTCTGAGTTACAAAAGCTTGATGGATTAATAGGTAGCAGTCATGGAGCGAGTGATGTTTATCGACATTTCCTGGGTCCCACCCCAGATGAAACTATAATGGCAGGATTGCAAACGTTTATTGATATGTGTCGAAAACGCTGTTCCAGCTCAACTACTAATGGTACTGATGAGGATGGCTTAACCGCCTCCAGTGATTATTACACCAAGACAGAGGATGATTATTTAATGAAACCAATTTTAATAGTACCTATATACAAGTTAACGACTTATACAACACCTTAGACTAAATTTCTTAACGTATTTTAGGACACCATGACAGACAACAACAATAACAGTAAGTCATTACAATCAGGAGATTCTCCTCGAAGAAACAACTCAATGTTACAATTGAATGTAAAACGAAATGAACAATGTTGGTATTGTAATGAATATCCTAAACATTATCAACCTCAACGTATTACCGGAAACGAAGAGTACTGCAGTTGTAGCTATGATCAATGTGTTAAAGGAAATACATTTTCAGATAAAGCAGTTATTGTCCATAGTAATAACGACAGTAACCTAAACACTCATTCGCCTAGGGAAAAATTATTACTTGATAATGGCTGCCAAGTGATTAATTCAAAAGAAGCAGAAGGTTCAATCGTTGTTACTAAAATACATAAACCTCAATCGTCTGCGCAAACCATTGACGTGCCAATTTCTGTACAAGGGGTGCAGACTGACGCTAAATATGAAGAAGACGAAAGTATAATATTGGACTCCATTAGACCCCCATATCAGTATTTAATTGGTGATATTGACACTCAGGTTCAGATGTTTTATAAACCTGAGTGCGGAGATATTACCGAAAATATTTATCAGACGTCCAGTGATTATAAAGGCACCCAGCAGTGTAATCCTATTCCCGAATTGGATTATGAACAAACTGAAAATAAGCAGATTGGTCGAACCAGCATCCCTAAAACAAAACCTGGCCGTCCTAAGAAAGCAATTGTTCCATCCACAATTGTGGAAAATACTAAAAGGAAACCATTGCAATTTGCATCTTTTCTGTATGAACCATATAACGGAGACACAAATAACGACGAATCTTCTGTAGCAGTTTTTAGATCTGCGAAATATAAAAATGAAGCAGCATATTCCAAAAAGCCGATAGAGAAACTTACAATTGATTCTTTTGAACACGAAGAGGGACAAATAATTACTTTTACTGAGAAAGATTCCACAACGAGCGATGATGAAGGTAACCGACAAAACAGTATGAATACGTGTAGATGTCTTGAAATAGTTGAGAAATTACGCTCGTCAGATATTAATTGTAAAATTGACGAATCAAAGTCTGCCGAGGAAATTGTAATAGGAATTCACACAGTTTTTGAGGAAGCATGTCAATCATCTTCAGGAGGTGATAACTTTATTAAAATTTAATTGCAACAATTATGCAGATTAAAAAGAAAAATACTTTATTTCTAGTTCAAAAAAATAACAGTTTTCATATATCATTTCCAAAAGGAAATTTTCCAAGTAAAATTCATTTAACAGCAAAAATGTGTGTAAATCATGATGAAGTGTGCGAAAATAACAAACTAAATCAAAAACAAGTGGACGTGCCCTCAATTCCTGAAGGTATTTGTACTTATAAGTCAACACCATGTAAATTTTATTTGCAGTTACATTTCATCGGAGTGTATGTATGTTCTTTCCAATCATCATCATCATCATAAGGTCGTTAGTCCTAAGACTGATTGGACACGCACCTCCACCCTTTCCCACCCTGAGCTAATCATCGCATTTCCCTAAAACAAGAACAATTACCCCACATCCTTAACTATTTGCGAACAGTAACTAATCTAGGTCTACCTCTACCCCTCCTAACTCCTGTGTCTGTCTCTAATATGTCTCTGACATTCATACCTGAGAAGGTGTCCTACCAATCTATCTCGTCTATATCTTATTGACTTCCATAGAGTATCCTCATCATTCGCCTGTAATACCACATTTCAAACGCTTCTTTCTTTTCCGCCGCGCCCACTTGTCCATGTTTCGCACCTGTACATCGAAGTGCTCCAAACAAACACCTTTAATAATGTTTTTCGAATTTCTAAATTAACCGTTCGCGCGCATAGAAGTGACTTGTTTTTATTGAAGGCGACTTGACCCTGCGCTATCCTCTTTATTATCTTGACTTATCTGACTTCCCCAGATACCTAAAATCAGCCACTTCTTCTAATTTTTCGTCTCCTATCTTTATATTCGCTCTTTCCCTACTTTTTCTTCCTTTGCATACTAGTATTTTTGTGTCACTTTTATTTGTTTTCATACAGTACGGTTTTGTCAGTACCTCTTCCATTTTATTTAAATCTATCGATATCTCCTCCTTGCTAGATGCTAATACTGCTATATCATCTGCAAATCTAAGCATACTAATCTTTTGCCTGTATACCTATCTCTACAATTGTACTATCTTTAATTATGTTGATCGCGCCTTCGATGTATAGTTTAAAAATTAGCGGTGACAGTGTGCATCCCTGTCTGACTCCCTTCCTAATATTTACTTCTCAACGTTGCAGCGCCAGCTCTATAACTGCCTGTTGCTCTTTATACAAACTAGGTATCACTCTTCTATCCAATAAGCTAACATATTTATTAAACATGAATTTGGACTTAAATCAATAGCTTTCTTAATTAGACGTTTATACTGAACTAGAATATCAAGATAGGCTTCATATCAACGAATGTAAATCAAACTACCAGCTAGAATTAGAACTTACTCCCACTTCGAAGGAAGAAATGTCTACAGTACATCAAGTTAAAAGATTAGCAGATCTCCATAGTTCAGTAACAAAACTGAACCAAATCTCTTCTTGTAATCAGTCAAAACTACCATTTGACTCCAATTTAACCAGTTCCAAAGAAACAGTTAATTCCGAATATCTGCCCAAAAATACAAGCGATTCAGGAAACAGAGGAATAGGCTTAGTTCAACATAAGAAACGTCACTCAAAAAGTATCCAAATGTCAGAATCTCAACACACAACCAGAGATTCCAAGTCTCAGTGTCCAATGAAAAATTGTAATCAAACACCAGAAAAATCAAACCGAAACCTTCAAGTTGATATGAACAATATTCCATCTCAAACCAAACATCTAGTTTCGGAAAACTATTCTCACAGTCCATGTTTAGAAAGTAACAAAATATATTCTAAATCACGTGAAGAGATGCAAGAAGTGACGGAAAGATCACGCACCACAAAACTTTCTGAACGCAATTCTTATCTGGATCCCCAGCCCAGTTTCTGTTCACATGAGAAAATTGAGCATAAATTATTCTCCCAGTGTTCATCCCACACGAAAAATAACTCATCTGTAGTTACTTCAGAAAATTTTGACGGTTCAGGTTGCACCTGTAGGCGTAATTTGAAACACAATAGCAAAGGATGTCAATGTGAAAATAACATTGAAAATGGTTCTGAACGTGAAATGAATATACAAGAATTCGAAGATGCGAAGTACATGAATGAGGAACTAAACGGTAACATAAAAATTATATTTTCATTCCTACAAAGATTTACAGAAAAACGATATGATCAGAAAGCTTCTAGAATGACTTCGTCCAAACGCGGATCGCGATTTCGATCTTTTTGGATCTCATCAGCGCGTCGCAGGCAGCTTCGACAGAATACAGACCACTTCGAATTATTTTATTCGATTATGGCAACGTGCCAATCACGTTGAGGTTAGCTACGCCGGGATTCGTTTTCAGCAAGTCGATATCCACACAAGTGGACCTTGTTGGAGCATACGTAATCCTAGAATGTAGCATCGTGCTACAGATGGCGTTTACTGCGCCATTTGTAGTATTTTGTAAAACGCACTGTTAAGACAGCAGGTAAAAGTTGGTCTATGTTCTGTGGTAGCTGCCTGCGCCGCGCTGATGAGATCCAAAAAGATCGAAATCGCGATCCGCGTCTGGCAGTTTCGACAGAATACAGACCACTTCGAATTAATTTAATACTCTAATAGTTTGCTTTGAGAGGTATAACTCTGGAAGCTTACTAATCTAGCTGTATATTTACAATAAATATGTATAAATTAATGATTATTTACCAAGAAACATTTTACAGTATCATCCCATGAAGCACATCTTCTCTCCAAGTCAGTTACTGCAAACCCCTGCAATGAAAATAATTATAAAGTCAGTAAATTAGTACAATATTCAAATGCGGGCGATTTAATTGTATTGGATGGTTTGCAAAAACCACAAATGAAAACAACCCACGACGAATATTACGCTGAACCAATAAAAGACAATATTTTTCAAAATGACAATCAAGAGATGCTATCAGGCTACACTTTAAACGTAAATAAACACCAAGACGAAAAAAACAAGAAGGACAACAAAACTGAAACACACGTTAATAGATGTTCTTTTATCCCCGGAAATAGCTTTGATTCGAGATACAAATTAACCCAATCAGAGTATATTCAGACAGATGCAAAAAATTGCTCCAGTACTGAGTCACGTAATGGACACAAGTCAATCGGTATACAAAAGGAATCACACAATGGCAGACATCAAAAAGGGAAAAGCAGTAATTATTTTAAACAAATCTTACAAACATTTGATGCCGATTTCAGCTCGCAATATTCAAAGAAAATGCATCCTCAAAATCTAAAACCCCGATCACATGATAACATGAAAGACAATAGTTTGATTTCTCTTAAGAATATTCCTAAATCACGGAGTTATCAAAAGGATTTATTATTCGATCCGAATAATACAGATAGCCCTTGCATTGATAACATGATATTGACAAGTGAATATTGCAAAAGATCTAGAAAACGTATACAAAGCAAAGAAAGTAAAGTTTTGTCAAATAAGGCAGAGCTAGATAGAGATCCTGCAAATCAATTACACATTTTAGATAAGGATATAATTAAAGGTGCTGAAGAAATAAAGGCATTAGCTGGTAGGGTTATAACGTTTAGATTAGAATTAAATAAACTTTTGTTAAATTATTTCAGAAGTTGTTAAGAAATCTCCGTCAAAAAAGAAGACGAATAAAAAACATGGTGAGTTTAGTTTTATTTCTCTTATACATTATAAATAAGTTAAGAGTTGCACTCAAACTCAGATAGATTTACTTTCTAATTAATATGCTTTTGACTATAAAAAGGAAATGTATTATCAGATTTCAGAGTTTGTTCAAGTTGCCTTCAAGGTGCTTTAACCGAAGTCTATAAAGCTCCCGAAAATGCAGATAAAAGTAAGTATCTTTTGGAGATTTAGAGAATACTTACTATACTTAAAGTGACTGTAAAAACCTTATCATGATAATTTAATTACATTCGGTATTTGTTCTTTAACTGTAATGTATAAATTTTAATTATGCTTCAAAGTAGGAACAAAAAACATTCAAATTTAAAAGAGTAGATGTGGAGAATCTCCTTTGGGATTAACCTATTNCGGTCGCGCAGGTACTTGCCCATTTATGACCTATTTGGGTAAGTCACTTGGAACCGATACACAAATAAGCTTTCAGTAGGCGTAAATTATAGTATTAATACAGATAGGACAGTAGCGTACTAGAAAATAATGTAAAAACATGACTTATCAAAAAGAAAACATTAACCTATTGCTTTTGTTTTATAGTTAGTTTTCACATTCACTCTCATCATGGGAATCTCTATCACTGTCACCAACATCAACAATTTGTTCTTCTGTTTGTCTGTCTATTACTTATTCACTGATCCCTATTTTTAAATATTTAATCTACGCCCCTGATAGGAATACTGAAGAATGAAGGCTGCAATCTTTATACCTAAAACTGCCTACTTTTGCCACCGCGCATCCGTGCCATTTTAAAATTTCCGCCAGTTTCCAGCGTCAGGCCTGTAGGTACATATAATCATATTTTCTGCCGATGGTATTATTAAAATACTAACGGTGGGTAATAAATTATGCATGAATTACGTTTCTAAATACCTAAAAATAACGAGGAATTGTTAGTTTCATTTTAATAGTTTAGAAAAACATTTAAGGAGAACTTAATATATTTAATAGCTTTAAAGAACAGTACTTATGCCACCCATAGAAGGGATATCAAGAAGGTAACTTTTAGTTTCACTTTCAGATATACTTGATTCCTTGAACACGTAAAAATAGTCTCAAGTATATGGACCAAGGCAAAAGACCTTAACGGCAATTAATTGTTTATTTTCAGGCAATGAAAACGAAAAAATACGTAAACACTCTCATGTGCAAAGTAACTGGACGGATAGTCACCGACGACATAAATATCGGTCATGTATTTCAACTTTTGATTTTTAAATTCCAGCAGGATATATGCCATTCCGTTCGAAATTAAATCCCTGAAGGCGCAGTATAACTCGCTTAAATTCACGAGCAGAGAGGAAGTTATAACACAATTATCTCATTCAGCATCAGGTTTTAATGAACTAGAAAGGTTTTCCACCTCAGTTTTCATTAAACGTTTACATTCAAATGCTCTGCAGCTGTAATGCAACTAATTGTAATCAGCAACTACATAGATACGCAAGCAAAAGTTTGTTTCGACTATTTCTGCTCTCACCTTTGAAATTTTAAATGTAGTAAACTGATGGAATATTCATTAGGAAAGTTCTTTTTCAATTTAGATAGTGGCGTTTACGACTTACAAAAGAAAAACGTCTGTTAGTTTCTGACATTTTGTGCTGTGAATAAGAGATTAAAAGTTTATTTGTATCTACATTTCTTCTAGCGAATTTGGGGAGTCTGAGTTTGCACCGCTTCATATTTGCTATCGTTATTTCGTCCTTGTAGGTATAGGGTAGAGCAGAATACAAGGACGTTTAGGAAAGCGAAAAAAATCCTGATGCAGAAACTAAATGAAGGAGATTTTGGATAACGCGATCAGCGTCAGCGTTAACTTCAAAGTAAGAGAATCACCATTTGGGGTGACTGGGCCTTCTTTTTTTGAAGTGAAACTTCTTTACGCACGGTAGGGTAAGTTCGTTTCATGCGAGTTTCTATGTAACGAAATCATGCAACGCATTTCTCCCGCTGTCTGTCCCTATGTGTGCTTAGATCTTTAAAACTACGCAACGGATTTTAATGCGGTTTTTTTAATAGATAGAGTAATTCAAGAGGAAGGTTTATATGTATAATACATGTGTAATATAGTAGAGAAACACTGATAATTTTAGAGAATTGTAATGTGATGTCGTAAATAAACACATTTTTTTGCGCTTATATTGCAAACGCTGGTTGAACCCTACGAGATAGATCAAAATAATGTACTACAGTATTGTACACCTTAAAAAGGTCTATAAAAAGTCCGGGATGGTATATGTCTATCTCTTAATTAAGTATTTGACAGGAAAGGATCAAACTGTTTAACAAATCGTAATGTTTGTACCTTATGTTTTATTAGCTAACACACTTCTGAATTTTTGCTTGCATTAGAGAAAATGTGCACCGATTTGTTTGTTTTTAAAGTGTTCGGTGGTTGCAGTATTCGCTCACTGCCCCATATATTCTTTCGGATTTTGTTGATGAATAAATCACTTTTTTGGTTTGTTTGGTTTATTTTGTACAATATAATACACTATGTACACTTACTATTTTATTGTATATTGAATCTTGGTGATACTTGAATTGTTGTTGAATGTGAATTGATTTGAATGTTAAAGCTTGAATGTTGATTTTCGAATNTTTACCAAGAAACATTTTACAGTATCATCCCATGAAGCACATCTTCTCTCCAAGTCAGTTACTGCAAACCCCTGCAATGAAAATAATTATAAAGTCAGTAAATTAGTACAATATTCAAATGCGGGCGATTTAATTGTATTGGATGGTTTGCAAAAACCACAAATGAAAACAACCCACGACGAATATTACGCTGAACCAATAAAAGACAATATTTTTCAAAATGACAATCAAGAGATGCTATCAGGCTACACTTTAAACGTAAATAAACACCAAGACGAAAAAAACAAGAAGGACAACAAAACTGAAACACACGTTAATAGATGTTCTTTTATCCCCGGAAATAGCTTTGATTCGAGATACAAATTAACCCAATCAGAGTATATTCAGACAGATGCAAAAAATTGCTCCAGTACTGAGTCACGTAATGGACACAAGTCAATCGGTATACAAAAGGAATCACACAATGGCAGACATCAAAAAGGGAAAAGCAGTAATTATTTTAAACAAATCTTACAAACATTTGATGCCGATTTCAGCTCGCAATATTCAAAGAAAATGCATCCTCAAAATCTAAAACCCCGATCACATGATAACATGAAAGACAATAGTTTGATTTCTCTTAAGAATATTCCTAAATCACGGAGTTATCAAAAGGATTTATTATTCGATCCGAATAATACAGATAGCCCTTGCATTGATAACATGATATTGACAAGTGAATATTGCAAAAGATCTAGAAAACGTATACAAAGCAAAGAAAGTAAAGTTTTGTCAAATAAGGCAGAGCTAGATAGAGATCCTGCAAATCAATTACACATTTTAGATAAGGATATAATTAAAGGTGCTGAAGAAATAAAGGCATTAGCTGGTAGGGTTATAACGTTTAGATTAGAATTAAATAAACTTTTGTTAAATTATTTCAGAAGTTGTTAAGAAATCTCCGTCAAAAAAGAAGACGAATAAAAAACATGGTGAGTTTAGTTTTATTTCTCTTATACATTATAAATAAGTTAAGAGTTGCACTCAAACTCAGATAGATTTACTTTCTAATTAATATGCTTTTGACTATAAAAAGGAAATGTATTATCAGATTTCAGAGTTTGTTCAAGTTGCCTTCAAGGTGCTTTAACCGAAGTCTATAAAGCTCCCGAAAATGCAGATAAAAGTAAGTATCTTTTGGAGATTTAGAGAATACTTACTATACTTAAAGTGACTGTAAAAACCTTATCATGATAATTTAATTACATTCGGTATTTGTTCTTTAACTGTAATGTATAAATTTTAATTATGCTTCAAAGTAGGAACAAAAAACATTCAAATTTAAAAGAGTAGATGTGGAGAATCTCCTTTGGGATTAACCTATTTGTGTTTTCTATTATTTGTAAAGAATTAATTTAAACTGTTTATTTCTCATTGTTTCAGAAAATATCCATAAAAGTAAATATGAATGAAATCGACTTGTATGCCTCTAAGGATATTTATCATTTGAGCTTCTTTAAATTACCTATTCTGAAAAATTGAGTTTGGTTTTATATTTTTATGTCAATGTCGATCATCTTTGACAATTATTAACTGTCCATTATATCGTTTGTCAATCATTTTCCAAATTTGTGTTCGTTTTCGATGTTAATACTACATGTAATTAGTAAATGATGTATTTTTCTCAAACCAACGTTACAAAAATTAATTAACACAAAGGTAAATTTAACTTAACCTTTCTTGTACTGGCGTTAACACATTTTCTAAATTCTGTCTAAATATAGTTTAGTCTTTAACCCTTAGAAATGTAATCTGAATCATACTATAAATTATTGGTAAATATAATAAACACTTAATTTTTTTGTAGCCAATTGTTTTCATAAAAAAAGACAATTTAAGTGCGCATCAGCTATGATTTCTCCGTGTGATTGCCATGATGAATCAACTAGAGATTCAGGTATTTGATGCACATTTTTAATTATATAGATACTGAAACAAAAGCTAACAGAAGTAAATAAAACGTTTAACAAAAGTATATTTTTATAGTTAATAATAGATTACAAAACTTTTTTCTATTACAGCTAGTTGCGAAGAAAATGAACCCTGCGACGATATTCAAATGCTTAATATGCAGTCACGTACTACAAAAAGAAAAGGGGCGTCAGGTAATACTCTCAAGCCTTTAAGACATCCATAGTAACAAAACAATTCGTAATTAATATTTCAGATAACATTTTGTGTATGAAGTCAAAACCAACAGCTTCTTATTTTGCTGCAGTTAAAGAAAAGTCAACTGGAGGTTAGCAGAACAGTTTTAAAGACGATTTTATTTTATGTGTTATTTGCAGGATTTTTCGACTTCGGAGACAATAAATGTAAAAGGGGAACCCCAGATATAGATTACGCTTTTGTAAGAATAAGTAAGTTTGATGAATACACCGTATTCGAAGTGCTTAAGTCTACCAAGGTAAAACCGCTTTGGCTTCATCTTCCCAGCACTATAGAGGATATATTTGTTATCAAAAATACCGATAGAAAGTATTAAGAATTATTATTATATGCTCAAAATGTAGCTTATTCTGTCCCTGTTTTAATAAATTCTCCACTAAAATGCAAATACCACTAAATTTATTAAATTGTACCAAATATTTAAGGGTTGTTAATGTCACATTGTTATATTTAAGATAGGAGTGTAATTGAAATCTTTACCGTTACTGAATAAATTATAACATTATTAATGCTCATCTCATTGCAACGACAGCTTTCGTCCGTGACTTCATCCGAATGAAAAAAAAAATTAAAAAAAAAACGATCAGGGTTAGACAACTTTCTCCTAGCAGAGATATGCTCTTTACCGTACCTGCTCTCTGCGATCAACCGATCAGATTCTTTTTGAAATCTTTACCACAGAATTGAATGGCATATTTTATTGTTACTCTTGATGAAATTCGAACATGATCTAGGATCAATTAAAAACACTATTTGGACACAGATTTGGTAATGCAACTTTTGCAATGCCTTTTAACGGTCCTTTCATAATCTTCAACCTTTTTTTCTCATTGCAAGAAGTTTTTGAATATCAAATGTACAAATTAACTGTCGTTGTTAGATATTTAACTTGTTTTCAAGCTTCCTCTAACATTTTTCCGAATCATCGTCTATTAATGTCATCAATGTTTTCAAAAGAAATAAGTTTACCTTTAAGTTGACTTAAATCTCGATGATTATGGAGAAAATCACAGCACTCACTCACGAAAACACTTGTGTCTTCATTAATTTGAATATTAACACAAAATCGGAATAATAGACCAATTCACGAAGAGTTCACTACATGTATCAAACCGACACGAGCACATGTTATCAGTACGCACGCCGAGCTTAAAGAAGTTGACTTTCTCTAATGTAAAACTCAAGGCCAATCTCAAAGCTGTTGTAAACATTATACACCGCGCCACTACAGCCATCTCTTTTTGAGCAACAATAGTTCATTTGATAAAAATTATCATTATAAATACAGATGTAGGTTTCATTCCTATAGACTGCTTAACTCATGCGCATATCAGCTTAACATTGGTTTAAATGTTAGTATAATACGGCAAAAACTTCGAATAAAGAAGGCAACCCAAAAATTTTACAGCTAAAAGAAAATGAAACTTTTGAATCGAACTTTTAGTTCGTAAAAAATGCTTCCTAGTATTTCTCATTTTAAAATCAAATTTGATAAGACAATTATTAAATAATAAATTTTCATACTGAACCGCTCTTTGATAAGTAACATGTGTTCCTGCAATTGATTTATATACTAATATTGACACTTTCTATTGTCAAAATAATTAGTTTTATTAATAAGTGTGTACGTATGTATGTGTCTAGCTCAAGTACTAATTATTGCACACGAAAAGTATATATTACAATAAATTTATTCATTTTCAGATACGTTACCATTTCTTGCAATTGATAATTATCTGGATAATATTTGAGTATTTGTCGAGGTGTTGTTGTTTTCTTGAATTTCCCAAAAAGCTACGAAGTAGGTATTTACACCAATTATACATATAAAAATACATGTACAAAATGATTTATTTTTAGTGAAACGTAATACTATAGGTCGACGCTTTAGTTCACTCAATTTTCGAAAACCTTTCGTTTGTCATCGAGAAGGCTATTTTGCTGAAGGACATGCTGACGGTTACTTTAAATGCTCAAGGAATCCGGATGGAACATTTAGTCGAATAAGATTAAGATGCCTTGGAGGTCAGTTTTTCGACAATACATTGAAAAGATGTATTTATGTTCGAGGTAGAAGACAATTACCTTTACATTATCGATTTCGGAACCACAAACCATATCTGTACTCATACAATAGAAGAAAGAGAGAAAGATACTTGAGACCTTTTAGAAACAAAAGAAAACGCTACGGTTTTAAAAAGTGGAACCACCATGAAAAATCTCAGAAAAACAATATCCTTAGAAACGCTAAACCAAAAAAAGTTACTACTCAGTCCTTTATGATTCCATCTCAGTCTGACTTGAAGTCTTCCAGCAAACTTAAACACAAAAAGCATGGTAATTCTGGGTACAAACCAAGCCCAAATGTTGACGAAAATTTAGAAACCACCTATGAGGAAGTTCACAATAACTTTGATGAAAACATCCGAGACATTAGCAGAGATAGAACTGAATATTTGGACAGTTTGCCAACACTTTTTACAGGAGAATACAATACTGAATCGCCAACATTAAAAAAATACCATACAAACGATCAATCTACCAATGAAGAACCGAATTTGTTTGGATATGTTCAAAGGAAAAGAGAATGTCAGGATAAATGCAATTCACCAACCTCTTCTAAAAGCGATAACACTTCTGACAGAGAAGACCAAAATGCAGAAAATGATAGCACTACTGTTGAAAATTTTAAAATTTCATCAAACTCCAAGACTAATGATGACAACAGCGATGAGGATAGCCAACCTGAAGAAAGTCTTTATGAACGTTTTCCAAAAAGAAGAGGTGATGTTAATTTCAAAGTTAATTATGGAAGCAAGAACAAAGCCAGAGACTCCAATTACCCATCGGAAGAAGATTTAGTTATTGAAATTCCTCTAAATGGTGCAGCACACACATGTAATAGAAAAAATTTGGTAATAAATAAGGAAAACGATATTCAATCAACGCTCGGTCCAGAAATAGTAATTAAATTGAGACAGAGTCAACAAATGTCGACAGACTCCTCTGCCAACGATCTGACACTGCAAAAAATTTTAGAACATCGGATGCGTTTAAGTAAAAACTCCGAACCAGAAACCAATTACGGTGCAGATTATAATCAAAAAGAGTATCCCAACATAATTTTTAAACAACGATCTGCATCCAAGAATCCAAACAAATTACTAATACATCTTGGGAAAAAGAAATCTCGGTTAGATTCCCGCGAATTAACTAAGTCTCCTGGAGTAACGACCACAACTACATCAACCACCTCAGTTACTCCAATAACCACCCCCTCGACCACACATATCGAAACAACAACAGCAACCTTATTAACAACAAAAACAACCGTCGTCACAACAATTGCATCGACTGTTACTCAAAGGACTGCGGCGAAAACCATTACATCTACAAGTAAGTCTTATTTTTTCAAGAAACTGATTTTGTCGACCCTTTCAATATCTAGCCAACAACTTAAATTGTTGTTATATTAAGTAGCTACCTAAATAACAACTTCATACGTATCACACTTAGGTACTTAAGTCTAATCAAACATTTATGTTCGACAATCACCTATTAAGCTTCTGTTCTATTATCCTGTAATCTATATGACTTTAATATCTTTATCTATTGTTTATTATTATCTTTATATAATTATGTGTAATCTGTACATGAGAACAATCAAAATTAAATGTAAATTTTAGGTAGCTGCACAACTGCAGCCAAGCATACAACTGACACCTGTAGTTCTAGTACGAATGTGCGTAATTTAAAGCAAGTTTTTAAACACTTAAAAGATGATTATATATCGAAAATTCACGACCACAATTTTACAACTGCATCACCTGGTCATCATAATAAGGGACACAAAATTGGAAATGGACACGCACACCCAACGAGTACGTCTAATTTTTTTTAATTATTTTATTATATAGGTATACCTAGATATTCTAGCATCTTTATTTTAATGCTGTTAATAGGTTTTTATATTTGTTCCGGTGGAAACTCTACAAACACCTCTAAAAGCTGTAATAGTTTTTATCTCTGTCACTCGGCAAGATCGGCAGGGAAAACTTTGAAACTTGAAGTTCCGTGCCCTAGCGGAATGGGGTTTGATTCTAACTTGAACAAATGTACAACAAATATGGGGAAAATATGTAAATCAATTCCTAGCGGATAACACACAATTTTATACACCTAATCTTAGCAGTACATCTCTGAGATAAATAATAAACATTTTTAGAACTAGCTGTTTTTATCAACAATTGAAAACATGAACGACCTTTGACTTTAAAACCAAACACTCATCTACAGCTTTTGCTAAAGGTTTTTTTTACGTATAATAATGAGAACAAAGAAGATTCCTACCATGTATTCGATTTCCAGAGCACTTAACAAAATGTTCGATAATACTGAAGCTTGCTGTTTCTAAAGGAAAGTTGTTCTCGTTTTCCCATTTTCCACGCGTTGGTGTAAAATGCTGCCTGTAGATGGCGAATACTACACCTACATAAACATCTAAGAAAATCAAAATAATAAATCTAAAAAGTAAAGAAGTTCTTTCGTTTAAAATAAAACAGGAAAATGGAAAACAATTGTTTTGGTAAATAATGTTTAAGAAATAATTACGACATAATTATATCTAAACTAAGAAATTAAATTATTAAATATTTGCTTAAGTTCTGATATTAAACCAAAAGTATTGTTTTCCGTTGCAACTGAATTCCTACAATTGAAACAAACAAAATTATTTTAAGTTTTCTAATAAATTATTATCAAATATAAACTTTTATTATCAGTACCTTACAAAAACATACAGAAAAAAAGTGTCACTCCACATAACAAAATTAAATAAAAGATTCTTGAACCTTAACAAGCCCTTACATAAAGTTTCAGTCTTATTTGAAAACGTTCATCACACACCAGGTCTACTAAATGAGAAACCAAAAGCATTTTTATCTTTGAACCTTCCCAATAAATATGTAAATGCTTTAAGTTACTAAAGTTGACCATATATGTTACAAGTGCAGCAAACTTGCATCGTCGATCTTTTTGTAGACTTCCGGCGTTCTCTTTGTCCTCTCTTCTGTGACTATATTTAGTTTTGTTTTTTCGCTATGTTGCTGACCTATGTCATCTTGAGTCAATCCAGGAATTTCCGATGCCGATTTTGTACTTTTAAATCTATAACAAAAGAAAGAGGAATACAAAATTTCGTTCAAATAAAATTTTATAAAAAATTGCAAGACGATTTACATACGGTAAACAAAAGTAAAGTTTAACAATATAATATATATATCATTTGAAATCCACCAAGGATCTCTCAATAACTCAAATTAATAAAACTCCATATTTAATAAAAAATGTTTAATTCTTGACTGGTTTCGTTTAAGTTGTTGTACCATTGCAGTTTAACAAATGTTAAGTAAGCAATGCAATTCACAAAGTATAATTATATGTACAGGTCTGACGAAGGAAGCGGGCGAGCGGGCGCGCAGGTACTTGCCCATTTATGACCTATTTGGGTAAGTCACTTGGAACCGATACACAAAGAAGCTTTCAGTAGGCGTAAATTATAGTATTAATACAGATAGGACAGTAGCGTACTAGAAAATAATGTAAAAACATGACTTATCAAAAAGAAAACATTAACCTATTGCTTTTGTTTTATAGTTAGTTTTCACATTCACTGTCATCATGGGAATCTCTATCACTGTCACCAACATCAACAATTAGTTCTTCTGTTTGT